ACCAGATATTACTGTGTGCGTCAGTAGTAGTTTCATAGCACTTCAAGAAAGTACATTCTTTGCAAGACTGAGTGGTATGTCTTCCAGATTCTTGCTTTGACTTCCTTTTAGTGATTCTGGGATTCTTGATGAAATGCTCAATCCATCCATTTCTGAACAACTGATTTTTGACAGGGGTACAAATTCCAGGCAGTGGGGGAAGAAACAGTCTTTTTATATTGATGCCAGTAAAACTGGATATCTACTTAGAAAAATGAAACAGGACCCCATGCCTCATATATACACTAAAACTGACTCAAATGGATCAAAGATCTACAGGTTAATCCTAAAATTATAAAGCCTTAGGAGAAAACTATGGGACCTAGTCGTCTGTAAAAACAAAGTAGCCAACAAATACATGAACAGCAGAAAACAAAATAGATCATTGGGACCTCATAATAATGAAAAACTTGTGCTCATCAAAAGGCTATCATTAAAAAAAACTCTCATAAAAGTAAAAAGACAAACTGATAGACTGGGGGGGGGGGCTTTGGACAGCATATCTGATAAATTTATAGAAAACTTTACCAACTCGATAACAAAAGGACAAAAAAAAGTTATAAAATAAGCAAAGGACATGAACAAACTCATGAAAAGGTACTCATGATCATTAGCTATTAGATACAAATCAAAACTACAATGAGATACCAACACACTCCAACTAAAATGCCACTACTTTAAAAAAAAAAAAAAGTCACAATAAATGTTGGCAAGGATATAGTAAGATTGGAACTCTTATCTGTTATTCATGGCACTATAAAATGCTACAACCACTATGGAAAATAGTGTGGTATGTCCTTAAAAAACTAGGAGTACCTCATGTCTCAGTAATCCCCTGCTAGGTGTATACTCTAGTTCTTGTTAAGTACCTTTGAGTTGGTTCTGACTTAGAGCGACCCTGCGTAAGGTTTCCAAGGAGTAGCTGGTGAGTTAGAATCGTCAAGCTTGCAGACCATAGTTTATTATCCTGCACCACCATACCAGGATTCCATATACTCTAAAAATCTAATAAAAAAGATGCAGATAGTTATTTGCACACCCATGTTCACTGTAGCATTTTTCACAACAGGAAAAAAAACAACCAAACACACCGAAATGCCCATCAATGCATGAATGGACAAACAAAATGTGGTAAATACATACATGGAGTACTATACAACCCTGAAAAACAGTGAGTACACGAAACATAATTTGGCCTCAATTTAGTTGCTTTGTCTACTGTTCAAATTTAGTTTAGTAAGCAAAAAGATTTCCTTCCTTTCTATACAGAGTTTGGGGACCCCCAACATTTGCTCCAGCTCATGGGTCAGGTCCCTAGACACACTGCACATTCATCAGTCAGGCTGTGGCTTGATAATCCCATCTAAAGACAAGCATAGAACATTCTTTAGTTGTCAGAGAAGTGAAAGCAAACCCATTCATTTCAGGTCTTTTGATCAGCCCACAATAGGTGAACAATACATAAACTTTTTGGTGTGTAGTAATGCCATTCTGGGCAACGGTGTGTGACTCATTAGGATAAGCACTGGACTGCTAACCACAAGGGTGGCGGTTTGAGTCCACTAGCTGCTCCATGGAAGAGAGGTGAGGTTTTCTATTCCTGCAAAGATTTACAGTCTTAGAAACCCTATCCAGGGTTGCTTTTAGTTGGAACTGACTACGGCACTTAATAGCAAACTATTGTCATTTGGAGGAGGGTTTTCATTGTGACCTCTGGTGAATATAATCTTTAGAGTTGTCAGATAATATCACCTGGTTGGTAAAGTTGTGAGTTTCTTTAAGTGGGAAATACCCCAAACTGGAAAACAGTGTTGCATGTAGTTACTAAGAAGATATATGTGACCATTCTAAATCTCATTACATCTTTAATGTAATACCCACTATAAGGCAGTCCTCTATTATAAGCTTTAAAAATGGGTACATCAGAAGCTCTCAAAAAATAGTTGCTGCTGCTGTAATTACTGTCAGTAGTACCATAGGTCAGAAATGTTTGAGAAGTACCAGGCTGAATGAGCTCCTCTGGTTCCCAGAAGTGTTAAATGCATGGTAATTAAAATCATCTTGAATAAATATACCAAAAACAAAAAGGCTACCCTCTGCCATCAAGTCTATTCCTACACATAGTGACCCTATAAGATAAAGTTGAACTGCCCCAGAGTTTTCAAGGCTGTAAATCTTTACTGAAAGACTACCACATGTTTCTCCCAAGGAGTGGCTGGTGGATTAACCTTTTGGCTAGCAGCCGAACATTTCAGGCACTGTACCAACAGGACCCCTCGAATATATTTGTTGTTGTTGTCGTTATATGCTGTTCCAGTTGGAATACTCGAGTCTATATAGTGTTACCCGAACTGCCGACCTTCCGGTTAGTAGTCTAATGTTGATCCTATAGCAGCACATATGGTTACAACTAATTATGAAGCTTATGCTCTACAATCTATGTTCATGGCGTTTATGGCTGAATGTGGAGCCTTAAAGGTTACTGTTCAGTTTCTTTTAAGAAATGTTACAGATTTCTTATTTCTTTTAACAAAATACATTTCTTAATTGTTATCATCAATCAAGCAGTTATACAAAGATTGGCCACTGGGTGCTGTGTTTTTAATATAAACTGGCAAAAAAAAAATAAGCATGTCATAAAAAATATAACACTTAAGTTATTGTTAAGTGCCATCAAGTAGGTTCCAACTCTTAGTGGCCCTGTATAGGGTTTCTGAGAAGCAGCTGGTGGGTTTGAACTGATGACCTTGTGGTTCATAGTCCAGTGCTGATCCTCCAGCACCACACTTACAGAATATGGAAATGCTGACAGACTGTTTTAGATTGCCAAAAAATAGTACCTGGTAAAAGAATGTGAATAAAGTGAGCTGCGCAAGACTGAATTTTATTTTACTTCTGTTTTTAGAGACATTCATCAGATATAAAAATTATACACCATGACCCCAGTAATAAACAAAAAAGTTGTTTATTCCCTTTTCCTCTTAAGTCAGTTACTTTTTTATTTTTAAAAATTTAAGGAGATATTCAAATGTCTAATCAGCACAAGAAAATATGTTCAGCATCTTTAGCTATTAAAGAAGTGTAAATTAACAAACAGTGATAAAAGACTACACACCTATTAGAAAAAGTAAAATAAGAAATAGTGGCAATACCAAAATCTGGCAAGTGTGCAGAGCAACTGGAACTCTCATACATTGTTGGGGGGAATATAAAATGATACAACATTCTTGACAACAGTTTAGCAGGGTCTTAAAAAGCTTAAACCTGCAGCTCTCATGCAACCTAGAAACTAACTTCTGGACATTTATCCCAGTGAAATGGAAACTTGTTTTCACACAGAAACCTATACTTGAACTTTCTGTAGCAGCTTTATCTATAATAGCCAAAAATTGGAACAACCCAGCTGTCCCATTAGTGAATGGTACATCCATGTCATGGCATACTAAAACAAAAACAAACCCATTCCTGTGCAGGTGATTCCAATTCATAGCGATCCCTAGTGTTACAGAGTAGAACCACTCTACTGTTTACTTGGCTCCTCACTGAAGATGCCAACTTCCCAGCTGTTCTGCGGGAGAAAAACCTGGCAATGTGCTGCTGCCGAGTGTTTAGGACACGCTGTGAGTCGGCTCTGTAGAGGTGCCACGACCAGCTGTAATTGACTCAATGGCACACAGCAACAGCAGTCTTTTACAGAAGCAGATTGCCAGACATTTCCCCCACGGTTCCTGTGAGTAGAAAATTAGTTACTCATTGGAACCTCAACCTTTCAGTTAGTTAGACACAAGCTGCACCCCATCCCCCGGGGGACCAGGAAGAATGAACACAGAACACTGTAGGTGATTCTCCAGAGTATTATGCTGAGTAAAAAAGACCATCCCAAAAGGTTCACAAACTGTAGTGTTTCATTTATTTCATTTTCTTGAAATGGCAAAATTATAAAAATAGAACAGATTCATAGTTGCCAGGGGGTTCAGGAAGGTGTGAATGCAAGAGGAAAGTAGGTATGGCTCTAGTCACATATTTGACAGTGTATAGATTTGACAGTGTATTTCTGACTATTCTTTTGTTAGTTTTTTTCCCCTTCCCAAACAAGTACACAGACAACCATGCAATCGAACATCTAATACCCAGTGGAACCTAAGCTTTGGTTAGTGGAAAAGTTACAGGCGGGCCAAGGAGACTTTCCCACTGGCCCTCAAAATACATACTCCATGGTGGGTCCCCCATCCTGTCAACAGATAATGAAAAAGTATGTGTGGGTCACAGAGAACAGAAAGCATTTCCTCAGAGAGGCGTGATCCTATCCACTCTGGTCAGTGCACCCTCTTTCTGGAAGATTGTATTCTGATCCCTGGTGACCATTATTTGAATATTGAATTGAGATGGAGAACAAAATTAAATCCTGTCTTGGGCTTTTAACTTGTATTGTGCAAGTTTTGAAGACAATTTCTGTAGAAATAATTTTATAAATATATTAAACCCAAGCTGCTTCACAAGTACCTGAATCATAATATCCTCTTGACAGTTGGAAGATGTGTTTCTAGTTTCTACTAGGGTATGGTGGCCAGAGTAAATGAAATGTCCCAGGGTCAGGCCTTTGGCTGGAGGTGGAGACATCTGGGTTCTTTGATGGTTCTGAGCATTGGAGGGAATTACCTAATGGTGGCATCACTGAGCAGGATGATGGGAAAGGGAAACAGACTTGTGCATCCCTCTGAAGTTTCTCTCAAAGACAGCCTCTCAAGATACAAGGAAGGGCTCTCTGCGATTGTCCGAGGGTGAAAATGTGTAGAAACAGTGGTCCTGTGAGACTATGGATTCAGAATTGGCAAGGTTAATATCAGCAGGAGATCTGGGATCCAAATGAGCGATGTATTTTTAGTCACTGCTTTTATTTCTCTGTCACTGCCATTTGATTTACAGACTTAGTGTTAATGTCTTATGTTTTTATTCTTTTATAGTCTCAAACCATGAATTATGTGGGACAACTAGCTGGGCAGGTGATTGTCACTGTGAAGGAACTCTACAAGGGCATTAACCAAGCCACCCTGTCGGGGTGCATCGATGTCATCGTGGTCCAGCAGCAGGATGGCACCTATCAATGCTCGCCTTTCCATGTCCGGTTTGGAAAGCTGGGAGTGCTGCGCTCCAAGGAGAAAGTGGTGAGTGGCGGGCACAGCCTCTTCTTACGGAGGTGACACTTGATTCGGTGTTCACGCTCAGGTTCTCTCTGTGCTTGAAAAGTTGTATTATGTTGAAGACCGTGGTATGGGAAGTCAGCCATTATGTATTAGTTTCTTCTAAATTCAAAAAGCCCTACTGTAGAAAGTCTCCCAAGGAAAAAAACGGAATTTTTTTTTGATAATCCCATACATTACAACTCGGAGAGCAAAACAGAAAAGTTCTAAGTTATAAATGGGGAATCGGGTGTATTTAGAAACAAGAAAATTTCTTTTTACCTTATATAGTACTTTAATGTATTTAGGATGTTGTTGTTGTTAAGTGCCGTCGAATGGTTCAGACTCACAGTGACCCTGCATAGGGTTTCTGAAGAGCGGCTGGTGGGGTTGACCTCCTGACCCTGCAGTTGAAATTGACCTTGTGATCCAGTGCTTATCCTACAGTGCCACACCAGGACTCCATATTTAGAACAACCCTTTTATAATATGGGAAAGGCTAACATAATCAAGAATACATTAGAACTGATTTCATTAAAGTCATTTCTATTTGTTTGACCAAGTTTACAAAATCTTAATTTGTAGCACAAATTTTGTTATTAATAGTTGCCAGGGGTTTATCTCTAACCCTGACTCTGAAATGCTAACCCATACGCCTTAGTCTGGCTGGCTTTCATTTTGTGGGGTGGAGATTCCTTCAGAAAGAAGATACTTGTATTGATTTCTTTGTGTGTCACATTCTCTTCTCTTTAGGTTATGGAGCAACGGAAAGGTCTCCATAACCTATCTTGTTGTTGTTGTTGTTAAGTGCCATCGAGTCGGTTCCGACCCATAGCGACCCTGTATAGGGTTTCCGAGAGTGTAAATCTTTACGGGAGTAGAAAGCCTCATCTTTCTCAGATATCTTATATCAGTTAACTCAGAAAACTGAACTAGTAATAAACCTTTGAAGGTTTATCGTAGCTTAATACTCTTGCTTCACATTGTCTTATCTCACTAATTAGGGGGGCTTTGTCAAGATTTTAAAGCACAATGAGAGATCATCCATAAAATCTTCTGACAAAGATCTAAATGTATGTGTTAGAGGCCCAGTGGCTGTCTCATACAGCTTACCTTATTTTTTTAATAGAAATTTCCTTCCATTTCAGTTAAGCTTATGTTGTTTTATGCATGAGAGAAAAGGTATATGGGTTTTACAAAACTAGATACTTGTTTTTCAGATACGACAGGATTTTATTTCTAGGAAGTGTTACAAAATCTGTTTTCAACTGTAGAGGCACATCTCCAGTGGCAGGGTTCGTGTGGTCTGGCCTCTGTTCAGAGCTGTGTTGAACCACAGAGCTGGCCTTTGGAAATCAAAAGCAGTTGTAATTTATTTATTGACTTGGGAACTTTCCATTGCAAAACAGTGTCACCTAGCCACAATTTCACTTCTTTGGATTTTTTTTTGTTTTGTTTTCTGGTAATACTAACCTGTACTGTTAGACTAGATCTCTTTGGGAGGATCAGCAGACTGTTTTTTCACTGAAGTTTTCCATTAGCTTTACTATAAGGGTCTCTTTCTGAAACCACTTAGAAGGCATTATTTCTTTGCTGTTCCCTCTGTACACAGGGGTGATTGGGATGGACAACTTAGACATCAGGAGTCCTGGTGTGGCACTTTGGGTTAATGTGGCAGACTGCAAAGCCATTTGAAGTGCAAGGTGGATAGTTCAAGCTCACCAGCTGCTCCTTGGAAACCCTATACAGGGTCGCTATGTGTCGGAACCGACTTGACGGCACTAAACAACAACAAGAAACCTAAAGTGGGGAGGTTATAAAAGCACAAAGTGGTTGGCTTACAAGTTCTCAAGAGGGAATTGAGTTTCAGAGTGTGGGGGAAGGTAGAATCCCCACTGAATAATTTTTCATTTTATTTAGATGGGTATGGTGAAAGAAGGGGATAGGATTTTTATTATTATTATTATTCAATAGTGAGTAATTGTTATCGTGACTAATTGCAATTGTCACAATGGTAAAGGTAGAAGTTAGTAACAAAAAGAGGGGAGTAGTTCATCTTACATTCCAGGGACAGAGGAACTTGAACCATCAAGAGGGAAAAACAGGATTGGAATGTGAGATCCTAACTAGAGAAGCAGTGACACCAGAGATGGAGGCAGAGGTGATGTCATGGAGAGATAGAAAAGCTGAGAACTCTAAATGAAGGGAAAGGGAAAGGCTGTGTGCTGGCAGGCAGGAGGCTGGCTTGCAAAATGTGCCCCTTGGTTGTTTAAACAATTGTATATTCCTGCATGTTTTTGTGGATATCAAGGGAAAAAGGGGAGTAAATAGAGGTAAATGCTGTTGGCTGATGGAAGGGATCATAATCATTGCAAAGAAGCAGAATGTGATTGGTTGAGTGCAAAACTGATTTTGTACATTGTAAACTATCACTTAATTCATAATAAAAGCTTTAAAAAGAAATTTGACTAGAAAAATGAGATATAGGCTTAATGATTATCCTACACAGAAACTGATTTAGGAAGATTTTTCTTTTAAAAAGCCAAAAAAATTGGAATGCCTAAAAGGGGTTCTACAGCTTGCCCAGTGAAATCCGTGCATGTCTGAGTGGTGCGTGGTGAAGACTTTCTGTGTCATCACTCTGGAAGTGCTCAAATGTTTGTTGACATTGGTGTTTCCCATATTTACTGGAATTGGGAAATTAAACAAATACAAAACTTGTGTATTATAAAAATAGATAGCAAAACAAAATTTCTTGGAATCCTGGTTATTTTTCCCTAACATCCATTTGTTTTAGTGGAGTGTTTAATTAGTAGAGCAGGCAGTGTAATGTCTCTGGCTATAAGTACTTCATTTAGCTTGAGAGCCCAGAATTCAAGTGTACTTTATGTTTAGCTTGAATGAAAGATTCTTTGTGCTAAATCACACTTTCTTTCACCCCTTAGATTGATATAGAAATCAATGGTGATGCAGTGGATCTTCACATGAAATTAGGTGACAATGGAGAGGCTTTCTTTGTGGAAGAAACTGAAGAGGAATATGTAAGTTCCAGTGGGTCCACTTCACACACTGTACTTGGTCCTACACTGCAGCTCCCAAAGCAATGTTCAGCAATTTATATGCTTGCTGCTGGTTCAACAAACTCCTGTTTTAGTTTAACATATTGTCAGAAAGCAGTTGAAGGGATAGGGCGCTTGTGTCAGCACTAAGCTGCAGGCTGTAGACAGCCGGCAGAGGCCTTGTGCTACTCTGTTTGTAAGAGAAGGCACATATTTTCTCTGACTTTAATGTGACTGTCACATATTATAGTTTATACGTTAGCTGAATATATCCAGTTCCACCTGAAAGATCAAAGCATATCTCCTCAGTTTGTGTGATGTGACCTTAAACTTTGAAAACATGTTTTACCATTTGGGTTAGCGACACTATATCTCTAACCTTGAATAACCATGTGAATTAATATGTTAATATTAATATGCCAGAGATTTAAATGAGTTGGCATGTTCAGCTTCTTGCAACAAGAAAGCACAATTTGCCCCCATCCTCCTGCCCTCTCACAAGTCCTGTGTATCTGCTGACTTGAATGGTGGGAATCTGCTGACTTTGAATGGTGGGAAACTGTTCTTGAAGAATTTAACGTGGACCCTCTTTTTTTCAATTCTTTGAAGGTATCTTAAATCTTTTTCCATAAATAATAAAATCTCAGGTCACAAAAATGATATGCTGCAAGTTACTAATGATACAGGACTGCTTTGTTTTAGTTTTTGTAGATGAACTACCATTTTGGTAGTATAAATTCACAAAGGAAAAAATTATCCAAAACAGAAGGAGATAGGGTGTATCATCTTTTAGTTGATAAAGAAGCCAATAGTTTAAAACAACATTAAAGGAGTGTAGTTTATGAAGGGGCACCTTACTTGACCAATGACTTTTAGAGTATCTTATCTACCTGTTGACATTATATTACCTTGTTTACATTGACTTGATCTAAACAAACATCCCATTCATCAGAGGCAGAGTACAAAAGGAAGCATAATAAATGACAGTTGTCAGAGGATGAAACATTCTATCGACCATAGAATCCACCACTCTGATGGGGCTTTGTATACGTCAACAGAAACAGAATGTGAGAGGACTAAATTACTGCTGGTTTTTTATCTACCTAGTTCTCAACAGTCCATTCTGATGATTCCATTACAAACTGTGCTTAAACTATGCTTAGAAAGGTCAACTTGGAAAGTGTCAACTTTACATTCTTATAACCAAAACTGACCAGTTTTTCTCTAGTATATTGTGCTTTTCTTTAAAATGACAAGTGTTACTTCATTCAGTATACATCTCAATTACAATGCAATCCCACCTTCTGTGAATAAACGCAGCCCCTACTCTCTAGAAGCTCACCATTTGAGAGGGATTAGAAGGGATTAGAAACACTCACCTAGTTTCCTTTACTTACTTTTCATTTCTCTTAAACATTTCTCATTGAACTATATACCATCAGCATCCATTTCAGATCAATAATTGTAGATCCAACTCTGCTCTTTTTATAATTGTACAATATTCCATGGTACAGATTGAACACGATTTATTTAACCTTCTTTTGCTGTTAGACATCCAAGTTATTTCCGTTTTTCCTACTCTTTGCTTATGTGTGTTTTTCTCTATATTTCTCTCTAGAGTAAATTCTTGAGTGGGGTTGCTAAGTACTTTGCTTGTAATAATTTGTAGTCATCAGACTGCTTTTCATAGACATGAAGTCATCTTTGTTCCTTGTAGTCAAGTGACTCTCAAGTGTACATGGTACACTGCAGAGTGTCATTCTGTCACTCTAGGTAAGCATGGTGTGATCACTGATTTTATAGGCATTTTCTTTGAAAACATTCATGCTGAGCCATAAACTTTTAAATCAGCAGAAGTAAGCAGTAGGACCCAGAATAAATATGGGAAACCCCACCAGAGACAAAATGGCTTTCAATACATCCAGGTAAATTTTATTCATAACAGAGACCATTGAATTGAAAGGCCCATAACCTCGTCTGTTTTCCCCTAAGATACAAGGAATGAAGATACTGGTAAGAAATTCATTTACTAAACACCTAGTATTAAATTAAGAGTTTAATAATTTCTAAATATTGGCCTTACTGCCTTTTTTGAGTTCCTAAGGAGCTCTGGTAGCGTAGTGGTTACGAATCGGGCTGCGAACCGTAAGGTCAGCAGTTTGAAACTACCAGCGGTTCCACGGGAGAAAGATGAGGCGTTCTGCTCCCGTAAAGATTAACAGCCTCGGAAACCCTGTGCAGGGTCGCTATGAGTCGGAACCGACTCCACGGCACATAACAACAACAACAACAAGAGGATATTTTGGACTCCTGGTGTGGTGCTGTGGGTTAATGCACTGGATTGCAAAATTGGTTTGAATTGCAAGGCCGGCAGTTCAAGCTCTCCAGCTGCTCCTTGGAAGCCTTATACAGAGTCACTATGAGTCAGAACCAACTTGACAGCATTTAACAACAACAACAGCAACAAGAAACCCATAAAAGAGAATATTTTAATACTTTTATGGTTTAAGATTTTGTTAACTTCGTTTGTTACAGAACGTCTCTATTTTAGTCACCCTCCTGTACCCTCAATTAATTTGGCAAAACATAAGCGTTAACTTCTGTGAACTTGATTATAGCACCTTTCTTCAGTTACCTGTTCCGCCATCCTGTGTTCAATGTAGTATTTGTACTCTTTACTTTCTGCATTAGCCTGTTCTTATTCTCCTTGGTAAGTTCTTGACAGCGTCCTTTATAAAACCTCCTTTGAATGCTGCTGCTATTCAACCTTCCTTTTACAGAGATGTTAATTGTAGCTTTTTTGTGTTTCATATACTGGCTTAGTGTGTCAGTCCCTCTAAATTTATTTAATTGTTGTTAAGCACCATTGAGTCGGTTCCGACTCATAGCAACCCTGTATAGCGTTTCCAAGGAGCAGCTAGCTGGTGAGCTTGAACCACCAACCTTGAGGTTCACACTGACATCGTAGTCCAGTGCATTAACCCACAGTGCCATACCAGGACTCCAAATTGCATGTACCGAAATGAGCTAACACTAAGCTATGTATAACAAAGAATAAAGACCTATTCATTGTAGAGTATGCAGTGGCTTAGTTGCGTATCTTTCTTACCTCTAGGAAAAATGTGTTTTTTTTCTACCGTTATGAAACTTTAGATGGGGTTCTGCTGTGGCACTGTAGGATAAGCACTAGACTGCTAACTAACTGTAAGATCAACAGTTCAGATCTTCTCAGAAATTTGATATGGGATTGTTATGAGTCAGAACCAACTCAATGGCACTGAACAACAACATGAAACTTATATACTCGGTGAATTATTGTTTGCTTCATTGTTCACTTTGTCATTGTTAACCTTTCTTGTTCTCTTTAAGGAAAAACTTCCTGCTTATCTTGCCACCTCACCAATTCCTACTGAAGATCAATTCTTTAATGATATTGACCCCCTTTTGATGAAATCAGGTGGACATGAAAGATTACCTCAGAGTTCAGATGTCTCACACATCTTGGAAATGGAGACAGTTTTCACCCCAGGTTCTGTGAAAAAGAAAAAACGAAGGAGAAAGAAATGCAAGCAAGACAGTAAGAAGGAAGATCAAACTGCTTCTATTGCGGAAGATGCATTCAACGTGGATAGAAGCTCAGATGATGAGAAGGGAGCCCAGTCAGCAGCAAGGTAGAGCTCACACCTGGAAAAAGGGTCTTTTGTACCATTTATAGACCTTTGTCCACTTATGCTAGCACTTTAAGATAAAGTGAGACATTTGTGGTGTGAAATTGGGACTTATTTTTACCCCTTGACAATTATGAAGCAGGCCTTTTCTTTCCACAACTTTAAAAATATCACTACCAGACATTATACTATGGTACTGAAATGTCATTTGCACCAGACTGGGATGTGTTCCTTTTCATCCTGTAAGTTTCCAAAAAATCGTAAGTCACAAAGAAGATCTGAATTAGTGATTCACCTATGGGTGAGCAGTGTTGGCTGTGAGTGTTTTCTGCCCAGTACTAGGCTCACTACTCCTGAGAGGTTGAGATTTTTGTTTTACTTTATCACCAGAACACACTAGTAAAATTCAGAAATCTTGAACACCACTTACTCACCAAATAAGTAGAAGAGCTCAAAATGTATTCCATTTTTAAAGTTAACACTAGCTGGGATTTAAAAGGTAACAATGGTTTGGGGTAGAACATAAATTTTTTACTGAAGATTAAACATTTTTTAAATGATTTTATGCCCTGTTCCCTTCAGTTGGTTGCCCTTTACTAAGGGACATGTATCAGTGGGTGATTCTTCACTGATGATCACTGAAGTAGAAACTCCTGCCCAGAGATGCCTACCCAGCATTTCCAAACCTTATATTTGAATTAGGGGACGAGGATTTGAGTAGATTCATAAGGTAGATGTTGGTTTGTGGTATATATTTTTTTTTATCCCAACTGCCCCCCCAAAAAAAGAGAGAAATCATACCATGTTGTTGTTGTTAAGTGCCATCGAGTTGGTTCCGACCCATAGCGACCCTGGACTTATCATGCCATACTTCCTGGGAAATTGTTGGTGTTGAAGTTTTTCTTATGACTGAAAAGAAGAAAAATAATTTCTTGTAACTCTACCTTGATCTGTTACAAATTGTATTTACTACGATTTTGTTTCAAACGGTCAAATACGGAAAAGGATATTTATGATTAAAATCATATAAAAATTCCTTTTGGTAAAACTGTTAACTCATTTTCTGGAATTTTAAAATCTGGATTATAAATCATGAAACAAAATTACATTGATTGTAATATGTAATAAGTGAATTTTTTTCCACTGTCTTTGATTATCCACCAACTATCCTGCCCTGGTGTGGTGCTGTGGGTTAATGCACCATATTGCAAAGTCGGTTTGAACCTCAAGGTTGGTGGTTCAAGCTCACCAGCTGCTTCTTGGAAACACTATACAGAGTCACTGTGGGTCAGAAAACTGACTTGATGGTATTCAACAACAATAGCATCCTCTCTGTCATATTCTTACTCACTCTTCCTACATTTACTGACTATGTCAGAGACTTTAGCTTCATTTCTGATGTTAAATGCCATCAAGTAGGTTCTGACTCATATCAACCTTGCATAGAGTTTCTGAGGAGCGGCTGGTGGCTTTGAGCTGCTAACCTTGCAGTAGTGGTCCAGTGCTTACCCTACAGCACCACAAAGGAAGTACAATTTCACATTGGAATTTTGTTAAACAAAAAAAGATGAAAAATGAGAGTGAAGAAGTACGTTATCCTCAACAGAGCAGGTGACTGTATCTATACTTACATAATTTTAAATCCTGAATAATCAACAATCCAGATAATGTGGGGGGTTTTGTCAATATCCAGATACTAGTTGGGAAGTGCTAAGTTATTAATGATACAAATCCTACATTTGTATCATCGATTCCTAGGATTTTAAGCTAATAAAATACTCGTAGTGACCCCGTATAGGGTTTTCCATGGAGCGGCTGTTGGTTTGAACTGCCAACCTTGTGGTTAGCAATCCAGTGCTTAACAGAGCCACGCCATAACTTCTGTTCAATTGACTAACACATGTAAGTCAACCCACATGAGTAGTATTAAGTCCTGGTGTGGCGCTATGGGTTAATGCACTAGACTGCAAAGTCAGTTTGAACTGCAAGGTCGGCACCCACTTAAAAAAAAAGGATTTATAATTTATATACAATAATAGTCTTTTGAATGGGACAAGTGTTGGTTTGCAATATGGCACTAATGTTAAGGTACATCTGTGATGAAGGCTGAAGTGCTTTTTACTCCTTGATGATGAACTGCAGCTTCTGTAGCTCCCCAAACCCCCCTACAGGATGCTCATCTATTCCCCTTACAGTACCAAATCTTGGGCTCAGTGTTACCTTTTGTATTGGTCATAGAATCACTTTCTTTACTTTCTTGTGTGTACACCCTTATATCCTCATGTCAAAAACTTGGTTTTAGTTACTATATCATGATCTGCCTAGCTTGTTTCCTATTCTTGGGCATATGTGCTATTTTTAAAGTGCGAAAACACATTTTTAGAAATCCTGTTTTAATACAGTAATCACAGGACAGAAAGGAATCTCTGCATCAGAAACCTCCTCCCTTACTCTAATGGGCCTAGACTAATTGGCTGTATTTTTGACCAGAAATGCCCAGAGACCATTCCATGTCTTCCTGGGGTTGGAAATTCTTGGTCTATCTTTTAATATTTTTCCAAATCCAGTTAGCTTTGCTGAACTCTTCTTGGCTTACCCTTTGCACTGACGTGAAATCTTTTCCAAAAATGAAATAACTCTTAATATCAACTTTTTTGTGGTTTCAAACCCCTTTTCATATAAATGAATTGGTCAAGTCGTGATGTCCTTTTAAATTTGACAAGTAGGGATTGTGCACAAACATCTAATTTTCCTCATTTGATTTTCCTTTATTAGGAAATAAAGGAAGTCAAAAGGTATTGCTACTTGGGTTATAATTTATACATGCATGGGTTTATTCCAAACAAATGTGTTTAAACATGTGGATGGCTACAGTCAAGTTCTTTTAGTAATATACTTGTCTAAGTATTGTTAGGAAGGCGCTCTGGTAGTTATGAGTCAGTCTGCTAACCTCAAGGTCAGCAGTTCAAAACTATCAGCTGTTCCACGGGAGAAAGATGAGGCTTTCTGCTCCCGTAAAGATTTACAGCATCAGAAACCCTGTACAGGGTCGCTATGAGTCGGAAGCCACTCCACATTACACCACCTCCACCAAGTCTTGTTAGGAGTCCTGGTTTGGCACTATAGGATAAGCACTGGATCACAAGGCTGGTTTGAATTGCAAGATCGGCAGTCACTCCTTGGAAACCTTATACAGGGACGCTATGAGTCAGAACCAATGCAATGACACATAAGAACAACAGTGGCAAGTTTTGTTAGGTGACTTCGGCGGGCTCTGCTAGTCACTTATATTCAAGGCAGAGAAAGGTCAGCTCAGAAAGTTATCATAACTTCATTAGGATTCCCAAGAGGTTTCTTGGATATTTTCTTGAAGGACACAGGATAATCATGAGGGCTTGTTTATTTTTTATAAAATTGAAAACTGTGTTATGAGAAAAAGTCCAGGAAAGGTGTACCAAAGAATTTTTTTTCCATCACAGAAAGTCAGGTGCTCATTTTTTGAGTGTACCAAAGTGCTATCTTAGAATTTCCTTGGAAAATCTCACCCCATTCACCATACAGCTTGTCCTTAGCCCTTCAGGCTCCTTTCCTTTTTTTTTTTTTAATAGTTGGAGATTTTAATTTGCCACTTTACAAAAAGGACAGAAAAATCACAAAGAAACTCAACAAAAACACAGAAGAAATAAGTAACACAATCAATAAAATGTATCTCATAAATTTGAACTGAATATTCCAATCCAATAGCAGCACAGTACACATTATTTTTCAGTGCACGTGAAACATTCTCCACAATAGACCATGTGTTAGACCACGAAGCAAGTCTCAATAAATTCTTTTTTTTTTTAATTAAATGTTTTTATTTTGGATTGAGTGAAAGTTTACAGGGCACATCATCGGCTTCACATTCAACCATTCATATAGCTTGTTTCATTACATTGATTATTATCCCCTCCATATATCATCAGTTAACAGTGTTTCCCTCTATCCTCTTTAGCTTTTTTTTTGGGAGGGGGGGGGCTTGCCTTTTTGGAATTTACAGTCTCAGCTTTTAGGGAAGGTTTTTACATTTGTCTGTGGATATCCAGGGCTCATGTATGAGATTACTAACAAGCATTACTGAATAATCAGATGAGGGACAGTTTGCTATGTCTACTAGGTGGCTAAAGTCTGATCCTCAGAGTTCAGGCTCCTTTTTGATCCTCAAATTCAAGGAGCATTTAAAAGGAACACAATTTGAGACCCTTAAAGATGCTGAAACTGCTGTTTTTATGTGGTGTGAATCGAAGAACTCAGACTTCTTTAGGGGAGTGTGGTGGTTCTTTTGTGCCATCAAGTTGGTTCTGACTTATACGACCCTGTGTAGGGTTTCCAAGGAGCAGCTGGTGGGTTTGAACCTCCGACCTTATGGTGGCAGTCCACTGCTTATCCTACAGAAGCACACCAGGATTCTAGGAAAGGATTAGAGACATGGAGATACTGCCTTCACACATATTTATGTGTATATATTGCATGTGGCAAATATATCAAGACATAATAGTTTCATATTTTGATAATTTCAGTAAAGGTTTCTTTGATTTTGTAGTGATACTTTTTGACTTACTCTTGTAGAAAAGTTTTACCTAGATGTCTGACTTTCTCAAGTATGGATTTTTCTCCCCCTTTGAATGAGCCTGTGTTTCTGTAAGAGAGAAGAATAGCATTAGGATAAACATAAATTCTGACATGCAGCTGTGTGGAAACGCTGTATGTGTCAGGGTTCATGGAAAAGCTAACATAGAAAGGAAAAAAAATCATAATTTGCTTTCTATCCCGATTTTTAGTCCCCCACGTGAAGTGATACATATATTCTCGCTTTAGGTTGAGTGTTCTGTTAGATAGAACATTGGTTTCTGTCAAAGCTCTTAAACTTACTTGCATAGTATACTGCTTTCTGCTTTGCTGAGGTAGTTTTTTTTTTTTTTTTTTGAAAGTATCTTCCAGAGGTTTCAATAAGATGTGCCTCATAAATCTTCCATTCGTTGTGTGAAGTAGTTAAGACAAGTGATAAATTTCCAGCTAAAGATTAAAAATTGGGGCTCCTGGTGCTTATGAAGGGTGTTTTCAATGTTATGTAACAATTAGTTGTAACTACAGATAAAAGAACATCAGTGGGTAAATTAAGGCCTTGTTTGCATTAGTTCAATCTTCTACAAGGCCATGGTCTTATCGATGAATTTTTAAAGCATTTGCCATATAATTATAAATATCATTGTCTTCATATCCCTATATCATATAGGATATATCAGAATAAAGAAAGAGTTCTCAAGTCCTGGGGGGAAAAAAAAAAATAGTCCCGGGTTCTTAAGTGTTTGGGGTAGTTTGGGATTTTTTTATGCTAGCTCTTGTCAACTAGTATTCTGATAATTTTTGTAATTTACAGGAGAGTGTTGTGAAACAAGGTCTTTTGAATTCAACTACTGGCTAGATTTTTTACTTTAGGCCAACTGTTCAAACTTCTGGATCCTTAATTTTCACATGTCTAAAGTGGCCTATTGCTGCCTTAGATTTGCAAGGATTCAATGATGTATACGAAAAGCCCTAGTTTCCTTATGCCTTTGAAATCAGTTACCCCTAAAGGACTTTTTAGTCACTTCTTGATTTCTGACCTTCCTCTTTCTGTTTCATATTTAAATAGTAGTTGGAGTATCATGTGATGTGAGACATCTTTGAGCATCACCTCTAATTAAAATATGATGATATTTTCCTATTACTTGGGTTCGTTAGAAGTCATTGGGCCCTCTTCATTTTATCATTTATGTCAGTAGATTTGGGGGATTTTTTTTTTTTTTTTTTTCCAGCTGACATATCATTGTGCCTGCCTTTCTTTGTTTTATTTATTTGTTTATTTCCTTTCACAGAGGATCTTCAAATGCTTCCTTAAAGGAAGAAGAATATAAAGAGCCATTAATCTTCCATTCTGGGGACCATTACCCATTATCTGATGGAGAATGGTCTCCTTTGGGCAAGTAAGTTTTTTTGTTTTCTTTTTAAGGTCTTGATTTTTTAAAGGGACGAGAACTTAAGGTTATACTAAGTAGCTTTTCTGTTACCAACTGTACTGGTACTTTTTGTCTTCCAACAGTTGTTGTTAAGTGCCTTCAAGTCTGTTCCCACTCACAGCGACCATTTATAGGATTTCTGAGGAGAGACTGGTGGGTTTGAACTGCTGACCTTGTGGTTAGCAGCCAGTACATTAGCCTTCTACATTTCCTGAGTTCCAATTTTTGATGTCAACTATGGACTGTAACTGGATAATACAGTGGGAAGATAATGTAGCGTCGCTCTGTTTAAACACCTAAGTTCACACCTAGTTCTCTCACATAGTACTTAATCCATCTTTCCATGTATTCTATTTCCTATAAATTTATCTTTGTCATTGCTTATGAAAATCAAATGAGATAATTAATACATATGAAATCTTTACAGAGGACCTGGCAAGTCCTTAATAAGTATCAGCTTATATTATTAAAGAACTCAAATGGAAGTTATCATTGGTATTCCCTTTTGTACCATATTCATATTTTCAGGATACTGTTGATTTACTCAGACTGCGTATTGCCTATACTCTGTCAAGTTCAGCAAGGTTACAGGAATCCTAACTTGAAAGCCATCATATTTTTTTGTTTTTGTGTTTGCAGCACCTATTCTCAGGTGGTGTGTCCTAAGAGTGATTCAGAGTTGGAGGTGAAGCCTGCTGAAAGCCTGCTCAGATCCGAGTCTCACATGGAATGGACGTGGGGCGGGTTTCCAGAGTCCACCAAGGTACTCTCAGAAGTAAAGGGTGTAATTTAATTTCTCACTGCATGAACATGAATCAAAATGACAGTAGTGCCCTCATGTGGACATACAAGAAATGCAACGTTAGCATGTTTCCAGGATGGTTGCACCTTGTATCTGCCACAGAAAGATCCAGCATCATTTTGTTTCTATCAACAGTTTGTTGATTGTTAATATGAGGACATTGTTAATTTGAAAGACACTTGAAGGAAACTAAGATTTCCACATTGAAATATTAAATAAGAAAGTGATTTTGAAAGCTTTTTGCCAACTCATGAAACAAGAAAGAACTGGGAAGATAAATTTCTTGAGAATGTTTAGATGTTCTGTTTAATTTTATTTAAAAAAAAAAAACATTTTGCTTAATGTATGATTGACTTTACACTTTATTTTCCACTTTTGCACTGTTTAACAGCTTTGAAGTGGAACTTTGAAACTATACTTCAAGTGGGCTAAATTTTACTTTAGCAATTCAAGTTTTCTCCTTCAAAATGAATATTCTCTACCTCTTAGTAGCTAAAAATTCTTTTATTTTCAGTCTTCTCCAGTGTTTGACTCTTCATGTAGAACAGTTATAAATGTGGGGCTACAGGATAATGCACTAAACCCAAGGTTGATTTGAACTGCCAGGAAGGCAGTTCAAACTAACCAGCCACTTCTCAGAAACCCTATACAGGGCCGCTATGAGTCAGAACAGACTCCACAGTACTTTACAACAGCAACAACATTATGGTATTAGACAAATATTTGTCTAATATTACAGTTTTAGACAAAATGCAGTTATTACCTTTTCCCATTTTTTATATTTTACACATACAATGCTATAAATAGTGAAATGATCACCTGCCATCCAGCTTAAGAAATAGATTATAATAAACACCTTTGAAACGAGTTTTACTTTAAACCAATATATAAGTCTTTTTTTTTTTTCAGATTAGCAAAAGAGAGAGATCTGATCATCATTCTTGGAGAGCTACAATTACACCATCAGAAAACACCCATTTTCGGGTGATTCCCAGTGAGGACACCCTCGCGAGTGAAATTGAAAAAGATGTTTCCATCGAAGACACAGTCTGCACAATAGTAAAACCCAAACCCAGAGCTCCGTGTAAGCCGATAAGCCACACCAGTCCCACTGCAGAACTTACTGAACCTCCTCTTAGGGATCCTCAGGTTTCATCTATATTAGATGCAGACCACCTTCCTCACGCATCGCTAGTGGAAGCATCCTCAGAATTAAAGCCTACAGCTAAAGTAGACTCACCGTCAAAGAAGAAAGGTAATCATTTTGCTTGATTTGACATCATTATTTTTAGTTGCCACTAGATCAGATATAACTCATGATGACCCATGTACAAAATATTGGCCTGTCCTGTGCCATGATGGTATAGTCAGGGCCATTATTGTGGCCCCTGGATTTGATAGTAGGTAATTTGAATTTGGATGGTAAATTATTTCAGTGTTCAGAATAATTGCTGACTAGCCGTATGTTTATATTCTCCAGTTAGAACATCTCACACATTTTATTATAACTTGTTCAGAACACCTCTTCATTAGATTGTAAATCCCACTGAAGCAGATGTCTAACTTCCTCATTTGTCTTTTCTGACTGTTGTCACTCAGTTGACCTAACCCACTGCGGGCAATGCAGTTGTGACTCTCAGTGAGACTGTAGGACAGAGTAGAGCTCTTCCTCAGGGCTTCTGACACTGCATGTCTACACAGGAGTGACGATCTGTCTCTATGGATCCGTGATAAGCACTGAGGAAGTAAATGAGTGCATTATAACTAATGACTGAAATTACCCATGATGCTGGGTAGAGATGTCAATAAAGTGAAGTCGAAGCCTGATTAAGTATATGGGTCAAACAGAAAAAATCAGAACAGTGAAAAATATGCTTTCCCGAAATGTGTGCTTACTTGATTGCAAGTACATGTCCTATCAAGTACTCTTTTTTTGATGATGAAAGGGCATAAAGGGAGCACAGTGGCTCTGTAGGATGAGCACTGGACTGCGATCTACAAGATTAATGGTTCAAGCCCACCACAAACCCAGCAGCCAAACCCCTGTGCAAGGTCCATGAGTTGGAAACGACTCGATGGCATTTAACAACAACAAAAATTCTCAACAAAATGAAAGGTGATTATTATTTATTGTTTCCCTCTGAATCAGAGAAGTTAGGGTCCCACTCTGGATTCAGAAGCTTTAGCTCACTTTCACAATGGTTGCCATCAAATTTCTGACCCATAGCGACTCTGTATAGGGTTTCCAAAGAGAAGCTGGTGAGTAAAAGTCAGAATTTGCTCACTGCGAACCGCTGGCTTTGGGTGTCATGCTTAGGGGAGCAAAACCTCACCTAAAATTACCCAAACAACCAAATATTTGTTCTTTTAATTCCAATATCAAAGCTTAGATCACCTTCAGGATCACTCACAGTAACTTACATAACATTTAAAAAACAAAAGAAAAGAATTTCATTATCTAGTGACTGCATGGTCCAGTCTGATCCATCTACCTGGTTGTCACTTACTTTGCCACCAGTTCTTTTCATGCCTCAGCACTTCTTTGAAATTAGAAGCTCATTTGTTCTGCCCCAACCCAGTACAGGACTATGAGTCAGAACCAGCTTGACAGCACTTAACATTAACACCAGGAGCAACAAGAAATGTTAAGGCAAAACTCTAGTTCTGCTATGGGTAAATGTTTTGTTTCTGTCTGGGAAATACTGGCTCCTGTTAACAGTTAACTCAAGCAGCCCTGGCAGCCCAGTGGTTAAGTGCTCAACAGCCAGAACTTGGAACCCACCAATCCTCGGTAGGAGAAAAGACCTGGTAATTTGTTCCCACACGGATTGCTGTTAAGTGCCATCAAGTCACTTCCGACTCAGAGTGACCCTGTAGAGTTTTTGAGGAGTGACTGGTGGGTTTGAACCACCAACCTTGAACTGTTGATCTTGTGGTTAGCAGTCTAGTGCTTAACCTGTAGAGCCACTGTGCTCCCCTTATACCCTTTTATCATTGAAAAAAAGAATACTTGATAGGACATGTACTCGCAACTGACAAAACAATTCAGACATAACAGGACCTTCAGTCTGGCTTTAAGTAACCAGATAGTTCAAGAAAGCACTGTTCTGATTTTTTCTCTATGACCCATTCAGTTAGTCAGACTTCTACTTCACTTTATTGACGTACCTACCCAACATCATGGGTAATTTTAGTCATTAATTATCATTTACTTTCTCAGTGCTTATCAAAGCTTGAATTTTATTTGTTTATTTATTTTAGTTCTTTGAGTTTGAGAAATGCCAAACATGCTCTTTCCTTTAGTTTTCTAACTTCCAGGTCTTTGCACATTTCATCATAATACTTAGTCTTCTCACAATGACCTTTGTTTATCTCTTACATCATCATTTCTTCCCTCTGTTTTGCTTCTGTATGTTTAAGAGCACGTTTCAGAGTATCTTCGGACATTTCATTTTGGTCTTTTCTTTCCCTCCTGTGTTTAATGACCTTTTGCTTTCTTTGTTTATGATATCTGATGTAATCCCTCAACTCATCTGACCTTCAATCATTATTGTTCAGTGCATTAAATCTATTCTTGATGGTCTCTAACTTCAGAGGCGATATACTCAAGGTCATTCTTTGACTCTTGTATAGTTGTTTTAATTTCCTTCAGCTTCATATTGAACTTACATATGAGCAGTTGATCGTTTGTTCCACAGTCAGACTCTGGCCTTGTTCTGACTGATAGCATTGAGTTTCTACACCATCTGTTTCCACAGATGTAGTCAGTTTGATTCTTGTGTATTCCATATGGCAAGTTCCACATAAATAGTCACTATTTATGTTGTTGAAAAGCATACTTGCAATGAATAAGTTGTTGCTTTTGCAAAGGTCTATCATATAATCTCCAGCGTTTTTCCCATAACCAAGGCCCTATTTTCCAACTACCAGTCCTTCTTCTGTATTTCTTTCACACTCCAATCACAAGTAATTATCGTTGCATCTTGACTATGTTGTTAGGTGCCTTTGAGTCAGTACTGACTCATAGTGACCTTATGCACAGCAGAACGAAACACTGCCCGATCCTGGGCCAGCCTCACTACTGTTGCCACACTTGAGTCCATCGATGCTGCCGCTTGGCCAATCCATCTTGTTGGGGTCTTCCACTTTTTCTCTGACCCTCCACCTTACCAAACATGATATCCTTCTCCAGCGACTGGTCCCTCCTGACAAAATAAAACATTTACTGATGAAGATCAAAGAGATCTCAATGTAAAGAAAACAAAAATCCTCACCACTGGACCAATCAACAACATTCTTGTCAACAGAGAAAAGATTGAAGTTGTCAAGGACTTCATTCTTCTTGAATCAACTATCAACACTCATGGAAGCAGCAGTCAAGAAATCAAATGACGTATCGCATTAGGCAAATCTGCTGCACAAACCTTTTTTAAAGTGTTGAAGAGCAAAGATGTCAGCTTGAGGACTAAGGTGCGCCTGACCCAAGCCATGGTATTTTCAATAACCTCATATGCATGCATAAACTAGACAGTGAATAAGGAAGACTGTAGAAGAATTTATGCATTTGAGTTATGGTGTTGAAGAAGAATATTGAAAGTGCCATGGGCTGCCCATAGAACCAACAGATCTGTGTTGGAAGAAGTGCAGCCAGAGTGCTCCTTGAAGGCCAAGATGGTCAGACTTTGGACATATTGTCAGGAAGGACCAGTCGCTGGAGAAGGATATCTTGACTTATATACTTTATCAAATTCAGACTGCAGAAGTTGTAAAACCATTTAATTTTTTCATTCTTAGTATTAGTGGTTGGTGCATTAATTTGAATAGTAGTGACATTAGCTGGTCTTTCTTGTTCAGCTTAATGGATATTGTCACTGATAGCACTATATCTCTGGATAGATATTGAAAGGTTCTTTTTGACAATATGTTATAGTTTCTCTGTGACCTTCTCAGTATAGTAGACCATTTGTTTGTCTGATTTAAAATGGCCAACACCAGTTCATTTCAGTTCACTAATGGCCTAGCATACTGATCTTCAAGCATTCCATTTCTGTTATTACAACTTCTAATATTTTTAATTCATACTTCTTTCATTCCATGGGTATTTGCTGTTATCTGTGCTATATCAACACATGAAGATCCTGAAAGCTTTATTCCACCCACATTATTAAAGTCGGCTCTGCTTTTAGAAGGTAGCTCTTTCCCAGTCTCACCATCCAGCACTGTATCAGACAATGTTTTACTACTATTCATAAGGTTTTCCACTGGCCACATTTTTTAGAAGTAGATTGTCAAGTCATTCTTCCTAGTTTGTCTTAATCTGGAAGCTCCACTGAAACCTATCCATCATGGTTGACAACCCTGCTGGTATATAGTGGTGTATATAGCGTCTGGTATTATAGCAACACACAAGCCATGCAGTACGACAGACTGACAGACGTATGGTAGTTCTCCCCTCTACACCCGTAATAGTGACTTGGTGAAGAATCCTGCCAGTGGTCTTAACAGACTTTCTCAAATTCCAGAGTTGTTGGATAGTTTTTCATTATGGAAGTTAACTATACAAGCAGTACTATCCAATAGAAATGCAAGGTGAGCTGCATATTTGATTTGAAGTCTTTTAGTAGTCACATTAAAAAGGCAAAAGTAAGCACATGAAATTAAATTTAATATCTTCTTTCTAACCCGTAAATCAAAAATATTATAATTGTAACATGTAATCAGTGTAAACATTATTGAGAGATATTTTTTCATTCTGTTTTTGTTTTTTTAATATAAGAAATCTTAATCCAGTGTGTCATACATATTTCTTAACACATTTGGCACACCTCAGTTCAGACTTTGCAATAGGCCACTTAAGGTAGGTGGCTGCTACAGTGGGTGCTCAGAAGGCTTCATTAGATGTGAATTAAATGTGTTTTGTTATAATTAAAGATCACTGTATGGAATCTGTTGGATACTTCATACTTCATCCCATTACTAATGATGCTGCATTTGTTCCCTTGTCTATGAGGTTGTCTGCCAGATTTCTGCTTTATAAAGGATTTTTATCCTTTTGCAATTAGATTGTAATCTTTGGGTTGATGCTTTGGTGCCATATGAATATCTTTTTCCCTAACAACCTTTGAGCAAGTGAGTTTTAAAATAATAGTCTCATTCTTGATGCAAGTGATTGCATTGAATTTGGTTTCGTTTGTTCTTACCTATAAATAAACATAATAAAAACTTTCACTATCAAATATAAATAATTTAGGGGCTAGGATTACTCATGGAATATCAAATGAAAAGATGAATTCTTCAGCTTGTGTTCATTGAACAACTCTTACTTGTCTTAACTCTGTGCAGCTCTTACACTGACATGGGTAAAGGAGACTCAGCACACATGATAAGGCTAGTTGACACCTCGAAAGAATCCAAATAACCAAGTTTTTGTCTCTGTTTTGTTTTTTTAAATCAAAACAGGTGTCCACAAGAGAAGCCAGCACCAGGGACCTGATGATATTTACCTAGATGACTTAAAGGCCCTGGAACCTGAAGTTGCTGCCCTCTATTTTCCTAAAAGGTAGTGTGTTTCATAATGTGATGGTGAGCAGCTAGAAAATCCTAGTTGTTTCCAGAGCAGAGCATGTCATCAGAGGAAAAGGAGTGAAGTGCTGGTGCCCATTGACTAAACCTGATGGTTGCTTCAGGGATAGGAAGTGCATGTGCTGTTTGGCTGTTACTTTGTTATATGCTGTGGAGTCGGTTCTGAGGCTGTAAATCTTTACAGGAGCAGAAAGCCTCACCTTTCTCCTATGGAACAGCTGGTAGATTCGAACTGCTGACTTTGAGGTTAGCAGCCCCATTTGTAACCCCTATGCCACCAGAGCTCCTTATTGTTGACTGTAGCTATTTGAAATTCATCCTCTGTTTATGAAGCTGTTTTCAGTGTAGTAAGGAGAGGGGTGTGCTAGTACAAACCTACAGAAGGGGTTAGAATGACTCCAGCTTCAGATAGGCACTTTTTACAGTCACAGATGTAAGCTCACCATTCTAGGGAAAATTGTCTAGCTTTTGTTTCATACATTAAGTGTTTTCAAAAGTAATATATCTTCACTTATTTGAAAGCATTTTACAGAGGATGTTTTCTCTTTTGGTTAACTCAGACTTGGGCCTGGGCTTGACTCTTTCCAGCTTCTCTGTGTTCCCCCATCTCTGCAGACCTCACCCTTTGTCATTTGTTCCCTCCCTCCTGGTTTTTCCCTTTGAATAACTCTGAAGCCTCAAACAAATTTGATACTTTTATACTGTTTTCCCAAGTTCAATTCTATTCTGAAGGGAATTCCGTTAGGATACCCTATGATTACAAAACACAGTGTACTTTTCCCTGTGGATGTACTATTAGATTTTGATATACTGATGTTGTTGTCAAGTGCCGTTGAGTCAATTCCAACCCATAGCGACCCTTATAGGGTTTCCAAGGAGATGTAGGTACATATAATTAATCGTTTTACATGAATTATTGAGAAACCTAGTTATGTATGTATTCCATTCAGAGTCAAGAGAAGATTGACAAAGATTTTTCAGACTTTTTGGAAGGTCCTTAGAATCCTTCATTACTCTGTGCCCCAAATTGATCTCAAAATATTTACTTCATTTGAAATAATAGTTGAATTTTTCAGAATGAGAAAACTGAAACTGCTTCATTTTTTTCTTCTTCTTACAACAGGAAAGTTAAAAGGTAAACTGGAATTAACACTTTGATTTTCCATTTTTAAACATTTAATACTGTATTTTTAAGATCCCTTTTTTAAAAATGAGGAGACAACTCACCTGATGGGACCTTACTGTGATGGTCTGTTATCATTTGATTGATAGGGTCATTGTCCATTCACTGAGCCAATCCCCATGAGCTGATTATTCCTGGAGACATTTCTTAAATACTGAAAGATAGTGAGACTTCTAATGCCTGTAAGCATTAGTTATTGTCATAATCATTGTCATCTCTACTACTAAATATCCCGTATTTGTAATTATAGTTGCATCTTACTATACATCACATCACTCTGACTTTCACTGTGGGTTGCTCAGATGGTGTCCTTCATGCATTTTGATGCTGTACTGGTTGGAGTAACACCAGCTCCTGTAACTAATGAAGTCCAAGATCTCGGGCACTTAACCACAGTTGGTCTTTATTTCTCACTCATGTGACATTTTCAGTCCTGGAGTTTGGTGGGAGACCTTTTACACAGGATTCTGGATGCAGGCTCCTTCAATTTTAGGCTCTACCATTCCTGTAGTCCACTATTTGTGGCCCACAGAGGAAGGAGAACTAATCACACGTGGGAGGTTTCCATGAGCCAGACTTGGAAGAGGGCAAACTGCACCACTGCTGCTCACATCAAATGCTTGGCCATATAGTCAGCCCTGTGGCCACCCTCACTGCAGGGGCAGTTGTGAAAGCCATGTGTCTGGGAGGAGGAGAAAACGAGTTTTTCCCGGGGATTGGCCTTGCCCCTTAACCCCACAGCATTGTAGCAGATTTTGCTGTTTTACATTGCTTTGGCCGTTTTTGCCTTTTCCAGTGAAGCGAGCAAACATTTGCACTTAATAACATTGATCCAGTTAATGGTGGTGGTGGTAAGCCGTGGAGTCAGTTCTGACTTATAGCGACCCTGCATAGGTTTCCAAGGCTGCAAATCTTTCCAGGAGCAGAAAGCCTCATCTTTCCACCATGGAACGGCTGGTAGTTTCAAACTGGTGACCTTGAGGCTGGTAGCCCAACTGTAACCATTATGCTAGCTGAGCTCCTTGACTAACAGCAGTCTTGCAGTGTGGGTCTGCATTGCTGCTGAGAGTTAAAATCTGAATCTGTGATTAGCTCAAATGCAAGACCTAACAGCTTTTGACATAGCTCTCTAGTTTTCTTAAAGATCATGCCAATTTCACTGGATCACATGCATTGATTTGTTTTTTAACCAAACATTAAATTATTTTGAACATAATATTAAATCTCCATTCACAGGATGTAGCGTAGTAAGCATTTTTGAGTGAGAGACCCAAGAGGGCATTTCCTTGTCCTTTTTCTCTTAAGTGTGTATTTTAGTACAAAAGACTTCCCTTCTAATCACCTTCTGAAACCTGGTTTTTGTGCCTTGTCTAGAATAATAAAAATACTGAATAGCCTTATCTTTAGCTTTTGGCTTTCACTAGTGAAACTGGACTTCAGATTGGTTCATTCTTGTTCTACCATTTGCTGAGAATTTGCCTTCCTACTCAGATAAACTCTGATATACTGATGTAGTAGTTACGAATCGGGCTGCAAGCCACAAGGTCAGCAGTTCGAAATTACCAGCTGTTTCACGTGAGAAAGATGAGGCTTTCTGCTCCCGTAAAGATTCATAGCCTCAGAAACCCTATACAGGGTTGCTGTGAGTCAGAACTGACTCCACAGCACATAATCACCACCACCACCACTCAGATACAGGATCCCTGGTAGCATAGTAAGTTACGAGTTGGACTGCTAACTATAAGGTCATCAGTCCCTCTTGGGGAGAAAGACAAAGCTTTTTGCTCTGTAAAGATTTACAGCCTTGGAATGGCTAAACAGGATCGCTGTGAGTCAGACACAGTCACCATCACCCAAGAGATGCTGAATCAGAATCTACATTTTAGCAAGGTCCCCACGTGATTTTTATAGGCCTCCAGGTGAAATCCTGGTGTGGCATTGTAGGTTAATGCACTGGACTGTAAAGTCGCTCTGAACCTCAAGGTCGGTGGTTCAAGCTCATCTTCTACTCCTCAGAAACCCTATACAGGGTCACTATGGGCTGGAAGGGCACTTACCAACAGGCCTCCAGGTGATTCTTATGTGTATACTAAGATTCTTAGGCATACCTGGGGATGTTGTTAAAATGTAGATTCTATTACAGTTCATCTGGAGTAAAAAGGAAAATTCTCAGCAACAGTTAGAACTAGTGCACCAGTTTGAACCCTGGTGTAAAAACAGTTCACTTCCAAATTATTTCTCAGTTTCCTTTTTTTTTTTGTGTGGGCCTATCTTGAGAATTTTCTCTTGGTTAATTTCTTCTTCTGTTTTGTGAAATAACAAAATAAATACAGCCAAACTGAACTCTCCCCAGTGGTTCAGCTTGCAGCCAAGCAATGGACAAGTCTATAGGGTGAACAGTAAATAGCATCAAGGAAGAACACCCTCCTTGGAACAGTCAGCCGTAAGAGATCACTAGGGATAAAACTTGAAGGCAGGAATAGATAGGAAAAAGGGAGAAATGGAAATGATAACACAGGGAGGAAGTGGTAAGAGGTCTATTGGATTGTGGGGATTGCTACCAGTGTCACAAAACAAGATATGGATGAACTGTTGAATGGAAAACCAATTTGCTCTGTGAACTTTAATGCAAATCACAATAAAAAATTAAAAAAATAGTAATAATACAGCCTTAGACAACAGTAATTTTCTACAGGATATATATGGTATCACATTTTTTTCTATGAAGTTAGGATAAAAAGGTTTCCAAACATCATAGTTTTCTAAATTACCCCATCATTTCATCATGGAAGTATAAATAAATGCTTGTAACTTTTACTTTAATTAAAATCAGTAAGGCTCTAGTTGACATGTGTGCATTCTTTCTTGTGAATGACCATAGTGATTTTGTAACAGTGAATTCCTCAGTAGTGTCATTGAGGCGCACTACCTTAAGAAAAACTGATCTGATTTTAAGTCAGTCTGCTGCTCTTTAGGGGATATGTTATTTGGTTCAAGTCCCCGGAGAACCAAATAGTAAGCTAGAGGTACAAGAAGTAGTAATAAGGCAAATTCTTTTCTCCCTATCCTTTGCCCCAGTGAATCAGACCCAGGTTCCCGGCAGTGGCCTGAGTTGGACACACTCTCTGGCTCCCAGTCTCCACAGTCTGTGGGAAGTGCAGCTGCGGACAGTGGTACCGAGTGCCTCTCTGATTCTGCCATGGACTTACCTGATGTCACCCTCTCACTTTGCGGGGGCCTCAATGAGAATGGAGACATTTCCAAAGGTATGTCCTGTTTTGGGCCCTGTTTTGACTTCAGAAGCCACTTAATTTGAAAGCCTCCCAACATAACAAGCACTTTTTAGCTGTTCCTGGGTATTTAGATTCTTCAGTAACCTTGTTTGAGTAACAAGTTGTTGTACGTGCCATCGAGGTGATTCTGACTCATAGCAACCCTGTATAGGGTTTCTGAGGAGCAGCTGGTGGATGTGAACCATGGACCTTGCTGTCCAGTGCTTATCCCACAGCGCCACATTATCAGACTCTTAAGGCCACATTGAAGGCACTTCTGTGGAGTAGGTCAATATAAACATCATGGTGAATCATGTGCCCTGAAGGCCCTTCATACTTGAGAAGATTCATGGCTGTCCTATGTGCGAGGCAGCCAGGGTCAAGCACATCTGTGGAGTTGTGAAATGTCTGTGGGATGGAAGCCAACTGCCCTCCTCGAAAGTTTTGGGTTTTAGACGCAAGTGCCAGAAGTCTGATGTTGAAGAACAGTGTTGTCTACTGAATAAATGGGCTTTCTGGCAAAAAGTACAAGGGCTAAATTTCTGTCTCAGGCTTGAGAATTGGCCCTGGAGAGTACAGCTGGTTTCTGAGTATGGGAAGAGCCTTAGCTGAATGGTTCAGGAACTTTGATTATGGGCTGAGCACCACATCACATGTGCGTTTACCCCACCTTCTATCTCTGTTGGATTTACCAGTTTAAAATAAGCTCATTTTAGTATTCTGTCAATTTGGGTAATGGGCCTTGGTTGGTTTTCCTCTAACAGAAGATTTTCTTTATGGCACTAGTACCTTCATGTTTTCGCTCATGCTCCCAGGAAGGGAAGCCAGCATAGCATGCCTGTGACAACCTCTGAACCGGGCTTTCCTTCATTTCTTTAGTTTAGCGTTACAGGATACTCATTAGGTGTCTTTCTTCTCCATATGTTAATTCTGTTTGTTTTATGTAATACAAGAAATTAAGAGTGTGTTATAGCCAATAGCTTTTTTCTGGGGATACAACTAGATATGTCAGTTCTCGTTAAGTGCCATCAAATCAGTTCTGACTCATCACTGCATAGGGTTTTTAAGGACGTGATTGGTGGGCTTAAACCGTTGACCTTGTGGATAGTAGTCCAGTGCTTACTCCTGCAGCACCACACCCAGCCCCAGATGACTCAGTAAGATATAATTATTGGTCTCATGTCTGGAGTAAGGGAAAATGAAAACAACCAAAGTCTCGAAGAAGAAACTAAGTATACTCGAACCTCCATCTCGTCTACTCTGACCAGGACTAGGTGGTGTCCATCTACCATTACTCACCGTACTGATGAGGGCCGATAGAATAGGAGCAAAATGTATAACAAAACTCAAAGTCTTATAAAGTCTTCACAAGCCAGTTGGGACTGGAAGAATCCCTGAGACTATCGCCCTGAGGTATACCTTAAGTCTTGAACCTAAACTATTCCTTGAAGTCATCTTTAGCTAAATATTAGATTGGCTCATCAAATAAATACTGTCACCCTTAAGAGCTCCTTTGTTTTTAATATGAGAACAAATGGTCATCACTTACTTTAAAGCAAAGAGAAGACAAGGAGTCAGGGAAACGATTGCTGGTAATAGAACAACCAGAATGGAAATAATGCTATGTAAGATGTTAGCCAAGGAGCTCTGGTCGCGTAATGGTTACAAATTGGACTGCTAATCTCAAGGTCAGCAGTTCAAAACTACCAGCAGTTCCATGAGAGAAAGATGAGGCTTTCTGCTCCCGTAAAGATTTACCTCCTCGGAAACCCTGTACAGGGTCGCTATAGGTCAGAATCGACACGACAGCACTGAACGCAACAAGAAAATGTTAGCCAAATGTCACTGAATACATTTTATAGTTTTATAGAAATTGTCAAATGGGATCTTAATGTGCTGTGTAAACTGTATAAACTTTTACCGAAAACACAGTACAATGTTTTTTAGAAAAGTGAAAAGCCAGAGAAAGGTCAGATGTTTTTTTTTTTAAATCTTCATTAACCCTCACTATATGTAGTGAGTACATTGACAGGGAACTGCTAGAAATTCCAAGCTGGATTCAGAAGGGAACATGGAACTAGGGATATCAATGCTGATGTCAGATGGATATTGGCTGGAAAACAAAAATTACTAGAAAGATGTTTACCTGTGTTTTATTGACTATGTAAAGACATTCAACTGTGTGGATCATAACAAATTATGGTTAACGTGAAACATGGGAATTTCAGACGTTAAATTGTGCTTATGTGGAAGCTGTACATAGACCAAGAAGCAATTGTTTCAACAGAACAAGGAGATATACACTATGTCATCTAAAATCAGAGAAGGTGTGCAGCAGGTTTGTATCCTTTCACCATACTTATTCATGTACTTGTCAGTAACCTAAGAAGCTGTAGTATATGAAGAATGTGGTTTCAGGAAGACTCATTAACAACCTAGAAAATGTAGATGACAGCCTTGCTTCTGAAAGCAAAGAAAACTTGATTTGAAGTAGTTACTGGTGAACATCTGTGGCTACAGACTTCAGTATGCATTATACCTCAACATAATGGAAACAAAAACCGTTACCACTGGACCAGTGAGCAGCATCATGATAAACAGAGAAAAGATTGAAATTGTCAAGGATTTCCTTTTTCTTGGATCCACCATCAATGCTCATGGAGGCAGCAGTCAGAAAATCAAATGATGATTTCATTGGGCAAATCTTTTGCAAAAGACCTCTTTAAAGTGTTATAGAACAAAGATGTCACTTTTAGGACTGAGGTGCACCTAACCCAAGCCATGTTATTTACAATTTATTTAATCACTTCATATGCATGCAAAAGCTAGGCAGTAAGGAAAACTGAAGAATGGATGCATTGAATTATGGTATTGGCAAAGACCATTATACTGTGAACAGAAGAACAAACAGATTTGTTTTGGAAGAAGTATAGCCAAATGCTTCTTAGAATGTACTTTTAACATTTATCTCATGTACTCTGAACATGTTAACCGCAGGTTCTAGACCCTGAAAAAGGATCTTGCTCAGTAAAGTTAGAGAGTCAGTGAAAAACAGAAGACTCTTAACAAGATGGACTGAGTCAGAAGGCTGCAAAAGTAGGACCAAATAAAATAAGGATTGTGTGAATGACATAGAATTAGGCACTGTTTTCTGTTGTTCATAGGGTGTTTATGAGTTAGCACCCAATGGCAGCATCTATTTGTGTATTTATAGTGATAGAAAAGTATATTTATGCTTTTGTTTTATAAATCACTTAGTCTGATAGAATTCATTATTGAAGGAGGCTGAATTGTCTGATAAAAGGAAATAGTAGACTACCTGGAAGAATGAACAAGTCAGAAATTTCTGTTAGCCTGGATCTGCCAGCCTGCAGGTTATGACCAAGGTGCCGTTCCTGGGAAGTCCTCATTTACTCTGTAAGAACTTTGGCCTTTCTGTGTTATAGACGCTGAACCAAATTACATTGTTGATAGTTTTTTTCCCAAGCAATTGTAAAATACGTTTTGGTTCCTTTGCCTATTACAGCCTGCCACCTTGTTAAGGAGTTGCTTCACTAATGAAGAGTTTCCCCTCTGATGAGAATGAAAGCTGAGTTTTTCACTACAGTTGTTGTATATGTGTCTCACCACATCTGTAATCTGTTTTTCCTAAAAGAGAGGGAGGATGAAAAAGAAGTGTTCTTTCTGGTCCTGAAAAAAATAAAAGGAAGGTGGGAGATGGAGATCCAATGGATATAATAAAAAGACTTGTTTTATTTAATTCTATAATCCCTTGCAATGTGTTAGGATAATCTCATATGAGAGTTCATATATAGCCTCTAGTCAAATTGGTCATTATTATTTTACATTGCAGAAAAATTCATGGAGCATATCATTACTTACCACGAATTTGCAGAAAACCCTGGACTTATAGATAACCCTAATCTAGTGATACGGATATATAACCGGTAAGTCATTCCTGCTTTTAAATGCTTACGTATTTCTGCAGTGTTTTCCCCAAGTGTTGTTTTAACTGGGGTGTTTTGTTTTTTTCTCTAAACTATGTTATCTCATCTAAACGAACTAATGGATAATGACTTTGAAGTGAAAGTGAAGCCTCAGCTTTATTTTTACTTTTAAATGAGGCATTGAAATGGTATTTTTCTGTTTTATAGATTTTACTGTTTCTCTGTCCAGAGAAATTTGTTTGGATGATGCAAAGATTACTCATGTGACAAAAAATGAAGCCATACTTTTTACTGAAAAGAAAAGGCAATTTGCCTGTTGTTTCTATTCCTTTCCTCAGTGGGGAGTGATATGTGTAATGATGTTCTGCATGACTTTTGTTTCTCTAGTTACTATAACTGGGCTTTGGCTGCTCCCATGATTCTTAGCTTGCAAGTATTCCAGAAGAGTTTGCCTAAGGTGAGATGAGCCGTCCTTTATTGCCCTTTTGAAACTGTCTACAACACAGCGTGTATAAAAAGTCATGTGTGCAGATTTCTAAACTGGGTGCTTCTTCAAAGTCTTCCTTGAGTTTAATCTTAACTGTTGTAAAAGGTCCATAATAGCTCACCCTCAAATTATCTAATGTTAAAAATGTCAAAATGTAGATAAGTAGCCAGTCTGTCACTTTCATTAGTTTCTGTTATTAGATGTGTTTGTTAGGTTTTTAGTATATATAAAAGTTGAGAGGTTTTAGATAGTAACTATAAATTAAATACAGAAAGAAGGGAACAAGTTTTTCTCTTACTAATGTGGAAAGAAGCGGGAAAACAGAATGAGCTCAGGAGATCAGATTAAATTGTGGCAAGTGCACCAGTTGTGTAGAACATGGGAACAGACACAGAGCAACTCCTCACAGCCTTACCCTCACTCAGACCCCGTTCTGCTCTGAAAGTAGGGTGTCATCTTTCAGGGGTGGTAAAACGTTCCAGGATCTGGGCAGTGTGGAGAGGTACCCACGCAGGCTACTGCTAGGAAAGATTGTGCTGACTGAGAGCCTGCCCAGACTAACCATTCAGTTTGGTGGTTTCTAGGCAACAGTCGAGTCCTGGGTCAAAGATAAGATGCCAAAGAAATCTGGTCGATGGTGGTTTTGGCGGAAGAGAGAAAGCATGACCAAACAGGTAACACACCTAGAGGAAGTCATTTCTATGGGCTGAAGGAAGGATATTCTTCGTTTATCTAGATCAGCTTGTTTCCAAGATCAGGAAAGTCACCGGGGCTATGTCTGTTGCTATAGTATGATGATGACAGCGTTTTGAGCAGTTAGTCTGTGGAGACACTGTGCTGTGTCTTATATATAATGCCTTTAGGTTTTACACCTGCTCAGAAGCATGGACATATGACTTCCCATTGTACTAGTAAGGAAGATTTGGTACAAAGAGCTGAAGTAGTTCACTGGCTTGGCATAATTGATGGGGTATAGACCTGGGAGCCCACCTTGAATCTTGACTCCAAAGCCAGTCTCTTTCCACCACATTACCTGTCCGATACCTTTTTATCTTCCTATAGGTTACTTCAGATACAGATAGCCAAAATCTCTTTTAGCAAACTACTAACAAGACAGGTTCACCCAAAGAACTACACCAAACAAAGTAGTAACTCAAACCTTGATTTCCCAAGGCCTCTGGAAAAAGAGGGCCTGGGGAGGTGTATATATTCCTCACAGGACAGAACGACCCCAGTGCGTGCAGTGCGGCAGTCCCTGTCAGCATCCTCTCCTGCCCCCAGGCCTTCCCTCACTAGGGAGGAGGAGCAGCAGTCACTTCAGTTCTGCCAGGGACAGGGACCCTGACAAGTGGGACTGCCATATTGAATTTTGTGCCTTGAAATACGATGATCTTTTACTTTTGGCTTTGTGGGCGACAGACTTTTGCACAGAAACCTATAACTTTTTCTCAAGTTTCTATCCTTTGGCTCAAGCTAGAGAAGTCTGTTTCTTGGGCATTTCTAGGTTGATCAGACTGCAGTTATGTTCTTTCCTGGAAAGGATTGCTGATGAATTTTTGCTTGTCAGTAGAAAAAAATTGTGTGGTGCCATTTTTAGTTTCTTGCTGTTCCAGCTGCCAGAGGCCAAGGAGGGAAAATCCGAGGCACAACAAGCCAGCGACCTACCATCAAGCGCTCAGGAGCAAGCCAGTGCCAGGTAGGAGCACCTCGTCCTTCCTCCATGGTTCACTTCACTTGGGCTACTCTGCTGTGGCCGTTCGTTTAATTCATAGTCAGAATCCTCTTTGTCTTATCACAGTACACATGATAATAAGTGGCTTATGTAAGACTGAGAAAGAGCTAATGGAAGATATGTCAGACCACTGTGTCTCTGTTCCCTCACCTTGTATCAAGTACACAAGGGAGATCTAAAAAAGAATCTCAAGGATTGGCTGGAGTATGCCCTTAAACATTCAGTTATGTGGAAGAAGTAACACCTCTTGGGACGTTTCCGTTGGCTGGCCTTGAAAAGAGTTGCTCACTGTGTGAGGGGGCTTCAGAAAGTTTGTGGGGAAAAAAATCCATTATCTTTTTGTTCCATTTTTCCACATGTTCTTTGAAGTGGCTCCTTTCCCCCCATATATACCTGGTTCTTGCTTCTGCCCTGTTTTTTATTTTCCCTAAACAAGTTCGTTCTTCCATTCTCTAATTGTTTTATTTAGTAGTCTCTTTGAGCCTTTACTCTTTTTAAGGGATATATTAAACCTGTCTTAATGTTTTTTAAAATCTGAACTTGTCATATTTATGTTCATTTGTACCTTTTAAAGTACACAATCTTTTTTGGCAAGAATCAGAAGGATAATAGTAGACCAAGAGATCTGGTGGCGTAGTGGGTTACGCCTTGGACTGCTAACCATTACGTCAGCAGTTTGAATCCACCAACCGTTCCGTGGGAAAAAGTTGAGGCTTTCTGCTCCCGTAAAGACTGACAGCCTCGGAAACCCTATGCAGGGTCACTATACTATATGAGTCGGAACCGACTCCACGGCACACACCCACCATCATATTAGCATTCAGTCATGGTCCTAGCCAAAAGCAGCAAGTCAAAGCCAGAAAGTTATGAGAGGAGAACGTAAGATTGGCCTTATCACTTAATATGACTATTTCAGGCAAAAAAACTGTGGACATGGGAGAATGGCAAGGGAGTAATTCTTCCCATCCTTACAATGGATTGGTAGATCCATTTCAGGAACCTACATGATGCTTTAGGATGTCTATCTTTTCCTGATCTTAAATGAAAGTTCTCAGTACAATGTCCCACTGCCTCTGCAGTGCCATATGATTGCATCAGTAACTTAGCCACACATACTAAGGGGCCGTATGACTGGCAAAAGTGTATAAAGCACACATTATTTATGTAAAATTATAGTTTAACTGGTTTGGTGTTGTCTAGACTGTCTGAAGATGACTCATCAAGTGATGAGGCGTCTCAAGAGCTTGAAGAATCCATCAAAGTGGACCCGATTCCTGGGGAGCGCCTGATCCATGGCAACACAACCTCTTACAAGAAGTCTCTCAGACTCTCCTCGGAGCAGATCGTGAGTCATGGGAGCTCCCAGTGTGGTTTGTTCCAGTTGCAGTATAGTTTGATGAGCTACTTCCTCAGTCTGTCCCAGTTACGAGCCTTACACTTGCTGTGCAGTGCATGCTGTGAACACTTTCATATAGTGGAAGACCCCTGCCCTATCTCTGGTTAATCGTAGATGACTCTAGGAGTCTGAATCTTCCATCATGGTTCTCTGAATCTTAACACTGCCTGCCCAGTACTTTTTCTTAGGAGCTACAGCAGTGGGGAAATGTTACTTTTTCAATTAAACACAGCTGTCCCTTATTTAGTTCTTCCTCCCTGTATTCTATCCATTTTCCATGTGAAGGTAGTGCAGTGGCACTCAGGTGTGGAGGAAGAGCAGTGAGGGCTTTTTGTGTGTATGTTCAGGAAAGTCTCTTGGAATCCCAAACATTTTGCTGGATGATTGGCCCAACCATTCAATCATATGCTCAGGCACAGATGGAAATTATAACACTGGTTATAATTTTTATACATATTCAACTCTGTTCCAAACTATAAAATTTTCAACTGTTTTTCTTTATTCGTATACCTTTTATAAAAGGCAAAACTGAAGCTCCAAGATGGGCCAAATGATGTTGTGTTTAGTATCACCACCCAGTATCAAGGTACATGCCGCTGTGCAGGAACCATTTACCTGTGGAACTGGAATGACAAGGTCATCATTTCAGATATCGATGGGACCATAACCAAGTAAGCACTGCCCATTATCCGGGAGGTGGACAGACTCGAGGTGGTAGATGGGACTCCTCAGTCCAGCCATCTGGTCTTTAGGGTAGTTTGCAAACACTGCATTGACACATCCCAAGCACAATCCATACGAGAAGCTGGATGGACAATAGAAAATAATTTCTTAGGAAAGATTTCATTTTATGGTTTCTAAATTCTGATGCAAGAAGCTGTTGAGATTAGGAAAAAGAAAAAGCAGGTGTGTGGTTGTAAGTAATTTCTGAAAGTGACCGTCTGGCTCTCAAGTTTGATTCCACTCATAGACGCATGTCTGTGGATGGGCAGCTGCCCAAGCATGACAGTTGCTGCTGTACACTGGACCCCCAGCCCGCCAAACATTGATTGGCAGCTCATACTTAACCAAGTAGGGGAAAATCTTGGCTTTGTACAATTGATTCCTAATACCTTTTCCTCTTTTCACCCTCTTCTTAGGTCTGATGCTTTGGGACAGATTCTCCCACAACTGGGTAAAGACTGGACTCACCAGGGTATAGCAAAGCTCTACCATTCCATCAATGAGTAGGTGTTGGTTCCAACATGGCGCGTAGCTCTAGTGCGCTAGAACTTTGTTTTCGTTACGAACTAGGAAAACAGACTGCGTGAGTGTGTGTGTGTGTGTGTGTGTGTGTGTGTGTGTGTGTGTGTGTGACAGGCTCTTCCTGTACTCTCTCATTTCATCTTCACAACACTGAGGGTTAGGAGGCTGTTTGTATGTATAGTGATAGTGAGAACTTGAAAAAGTTCATGGAAAATGGAATTGAAAAGATAATAGAATTTTTCCACAAACTTTTAGATATTTATTTATAGCTAGAATCTGAGCATATTTTCAAGTTGTTGGGCATTTTTAAGAGTTCTTTCTTTGAACAGATAATAACATGCATGCCTAGAGGAAACAGTTTCTCCCGCATATAAGAGTATCACCGTGCACATTGCTTAAGTGCACACATACTCACCCCACCTTTCTCAAAGACAGCCATCACTCCAACCTTGGTACCCCACCAGGCTGATGGATCTTAGCTCTTAAACACCCATTGGGTCTCGTTTCCTGCCAGGACTTTCGGAGGAAGTTTGGTTCCGGGCAGCTAGCTCCTTTCTGCCCTGCCGCACTCTCCAGTCTCAGGTGGGAGGCATCCCATTGCCAGCACCTGGCAGGCCCGCAGATGGTCTTGTCAGGCATGCTGTAGGGGGCTGCAGTGGTCTTGTCAGGCATGCTGTAGGGGGCTGCAGTGGTCTTGTCAGGCATGCTGTAGGAGGTGCTGCAGTGGTCTTGTCAGGCATGCTGTAGCGGGGTATTCAGTGGTCTTGTCAGGCATGCTGTAGGGGG